GTCCCACGTCTTGACGACGCGGTCCGTCGACCCCGTGGCAATCGTCATGGGGCGGTACTTGTTCCAGTCGAGCGAAAGGACCTCGCCGCCCACGGGCACCGTGGCTATCGGCGCTGCTGGGCTGCCGGGCGTGCCGACGGGCTGCCGCAGGTCGAAAAGGCGGAGGTGGCCGTCGCCGGATGCCGTCGCGAGGAGCTCTGGGTTGTGGGGCGAAAAGGCGCAGCTGTAGACGCATGCCGTGTGCGCCGTGATGCTCGTGAGCGATGCGGGCCGCTCCGGATGCCACTGTGCGGGGTCGAGGGCGGGAGGCGATTGAACAGGGTGTCAGGCGGACCAACCGACCGGCGGACGGACCGGCGAGAAGGTGGACGGACGGGCGGAGCAGGGTGCGGAGGGAAAGGAGCCACTCACGATTCGGACAGAGCAGTCCCAGCTGGAGCTGGCAAAGATGTCCTTTTTGATATTGTTCCAGTCGACGGAAAACACTTCGCGGCTGTGCTCTGCCCAGTTGCGAATGGGGTGGTCCTATGGGTGGGATCCGCAGTGAGGATCATCGTCGATATCGCGGTCGAAGGGTTGGTCGAGGTCAGATCGTGGTCGCGGGCAAGGAGGAACGGTGGGGAAGAGGGCGGCGCACGGCAGGGGACGTACATTGAGGGCAATGTCCCACAGCTTGATGCTGCCATCGCCGCTGGCGGTGACGAGCTGGTTTTCGTGCGCCTCGGACCATGCCAGGTCGTAGAGGCCGTCCTGGGTGTCGAAGCTGTCAGGGTTCGAGGGGGTGGGGGTTCGAGCAGGGAAAGGCGAGGGCAGGGCAGCGGCGAAAGGCGAAAGGCGAGGAGGCAGATTCGAGCGTGGTCGGAAAGAGCGAGGGGCGAGGAGGCAGATTCGAGCGTGGTCGGAAAGAGCGAGGGGCGAGAAGGCAGAAAGGAGTGCGGTGAAACAGGGCAAAGGATAAGCGGTGAAGCCGTGCCACGAAGCCGGAGGTGAGCCGACGTACGGCTGGCATTAGGACGGGGACGAGCACTCACACCTTTTCGACGACCAACCCCTGCCCGGCGAGACCCATGATGTGCAGTCGACCGTTGCCTACGAGGCCGTACTGTCGTGGCGTGGAAGAAGGGGGAAGGCAAGAGGACAAAAGAAGGAGCAGCGGGCGGGTCTGGAATGTCAGCCACGGTGCTCCATTTGCCACTTTTGAACGGGCAGCGACCGAGAAGGGGGATGATGGACGGCGGGACGCACATTTGCGCTGCTGGCGACGGCGAGCCTATTGTCGAAAAAGGGGGACCATGCGACGCCGTAGCCTGCAAAGCCCTGGGTGCGGCATCGCGATATTGGCTGCGGGGGCGGGATCATGGCGAGGTGGCCGTGGAACGAAGAGGGAGCGGGCGGGGCAGAGGGACGAGGTGCGTGGATGATGCGAGTACTGTGTTGCGGTGCGGTGCGTGAAGGGGGCGGGTAGGACGATGGCGATGGCGAGGATCGAGGAAGAAGGGAAGAAAGGTGCGGCGGCGGGTTGGCCTTTGGGACGACCCGACACCTAGCCGCCTGCGAGCGGGCGGGCGAACGGGCAGCCGTGGCCGGTGGCCGGTCGGATGGGCGGCCCGAGCGACTCGGACTCGACTCAAAGGGCGACCGACCTCTGGCGCTGCCCCTCGCCTCCACACTCTTACTGGCCCTGGTCGAGGCAGGCTGCCGTCTCGCCTTTGATCTTCTTGGCGCCTTGTACCGCCGCCGCCACCACCACCATCGCCACCACGGCTTCTTCTCCGCTCTCCATCAGGCCGGTGGGCGACGGACAACGTTCGCCGTGGATCCCAGTCTCGAGACCGCACACGACATGCAAGATGGATACAAATACAGGAACCCTCAGACTGACCCTTGGCGCACTACCCCTGCTCCACGACGACCGGCATACCAACCTCGACGAACCCGACACCCGCCTGCTTTCTGCCCAACCCTGCCGTCGCGGCATCGCCACCACCAGGGATCCCGTCGAGCCAGACGAGGTGCGAGCCAAAGATGATGCGGCCCCGCTCGTTGCGCCGGTGCCGCGCCAGCGCCTTGAACGTCTGCGGCCGCACCTCGCCCGTCGCCTGGTCCACGCACACCATCTGACACCGCCGGCACTGTCCCAGCACCCCAAACCGGTTCCACCCGATCCGGATCCGCGCCGCGCCGTCCTCGATGAACGCGAGCGGGCCTAACGGCGACGGCGACGGCGACGGCAGCGGGGCAATGACAAAGTTGCTCCGGAAGCTCGAGGCGCTCGCCCTCGGTGGCGATGATCGCCGCAGCTCGCCGTCCTCATCGCCCTCGCCGCCCTCGCCGCCCTCGCCGCCCTCGCCGCTATGGCCACCGCCACCGCCCTGCATCCATGCGCTCACCTCGTCGACCGAGACCTGGTTGATGAGCAGAAACGGCGACTCGTTGGACAACAGCAGCGGCACCCGGTCCGACGACGCAGCCGCCCGGCCGCCACCGCCACCGCTCGCCGTCGGCAGCGTCAGCTTCGAGTGCCGATCCGTCTGTCCCGCAGCCAGGCGCGCCAGCGTGCACGCCACGCCCAGGTGCTCGCTCAGCACCGTCCGCACGCGCGTCGACGTGTGCACCGACGGCCGCACCGCATCGGCGCACACCTGCGCCATCCCGCAGCCACCCGCACCGCCGCCGTCGCTCGTGTCGTACTGGCCATCCGCCTCGGGCCCCTCGAGGTCGACCTCAACCTGATCTCCGCGCCCGGCAATGGCAATCACCAGCTTGTTGCGCCGCCGCTCGACCCGCGGCTGGATGAGGGCCATGCGCGGGTACTTTTTCTGGCTGAGCCCCTTGCCCGTGCGCAGGTCCAGCACCACCCACTCGCGGTCGTACTCGAGGCCGTGCCTCGTCAACGGCCACCGCTCCCCCTCGCCCAGCCGCTGTCCCGCGCAGCTCTTGATCGGGTACACGATCACCTGCGACAGGTGCAAGGCGGGCGAAGGCGCCGGTGCCGGTGCCGGTGCCGATGCCGATGCCGATGCCGATGCCGATGCCATCGACCGCGGGACGTCGACGTCGACGTCGACGACCTGGAAGAAGCGCTCGATGAAGGCGGCTAGCCGGTCGACGTCGCCGTGCGTGTTGAGCAGGCAGACGCTGGCGCGCAGGCTGGTCGACACGAGTTGGTCGCTGTCCGACGACTCGTCGCAGCCGACGCCGTCGGCATACTGCTGCTTGATGTCGTCGTCGGTGGCGCCGAGCGACGACGCGACAAAGCCGGCGTTGCAGTGGCGCCCGGCGCGGATGTGGATGTTGCTGATCGAGGCCAGCCGGTCGACCTCGTTGGGCGGCACGATGCGGCCCGCGGGCGAGAGGACGTTGAAGCTGCAGATCGGGCCCTGCCGTGGCGGGGTCGCATCGACGATGTCAAAGCGGCAAGCGGCGGCCGACGACGATGCGTGCTGCCCGGAATCGGCGCCGGTCTCGACGTCAGTGTAGATGCGCACGACGGGTGCGCCGTTGCCGTGGCGGAGGGCGGCGAGACGGTGGTGGAGGTGGCGTCCGAGGGAGCGCACGTAGTCGGCACGCTGCTGCCAGGGGCCAAACGCCTGCTGGTAGTAGTCAAAGGCGTGGCGGAGGGCGAGGATGGCGTGGATGTTGGGGGTGCCGTCCTCGAAAGCGGCGGCGAGGTCGGTGCGGGGCTGCTTCCAGCGGGACCACGGTGCGATGGCGTCGAGGGTGCCGCCGCCGTAGTAGGCCTTTTTCGAGAGGACGTGGGCGGAGCTCTTTTTGACGAGGAGCGCGCCGAGGCCGGTGGGGTAGCCAAACACCTTGTAAAAGGAGAAGGCGACAAAGTCGGGCGCCGAGTCGTGGTCGAAGCTGCCGAGGTCGAGGCGCTGCGACGACGAGAGGTAGGATGCGGCGTCGACGAGGATGTAGCGCGAACCCTTTTGGCGGCAGAGGGTTGCGAGGAGGGCGTCGTAGCGGGTGCCGGTGGCGTTGCACTGAAGGGGCAGGGCGACGAGGTCGGCGCGCGGGTGGCCAGCAGAGGTGCGGCAGGAGGAGGAGGAGGGGGAGGCTGGTCGACAAGGCGCGGGCTCGGGCGCGGGCGGGTCGTGATGCTCAAAGACGGCGGTGCGGGCGCCTGCGTTTGCGGCAATGTCGCGGATGGCGGCGAGGCTGGTGTGGCTCTGGAGGAGGTGGTGGTAGTCGCCGTTGGACCAGTCAAAGGCATCTGCGACGAGGCGGAGCGAAGCGGTGGTGCCTGCGGTGAAGACGAGGTGCCAGTCGTGCGGGCGGTGGATGCAAAAGAGCTCGGTGAGGACGCGGTGGCGCGCGTGCTCGATGCGCGAGGCGGTGTCGAGTGCCGAGGGGCTCTTGGAGTGCGGGTTGGAGAAGAGCGAGGTGGCGAGCTCGGTGGCGGCGCGGTGGACCAGTGCGGCCGGGTAGGGCGGCGATGCGGCGGCGTCGAGGTAGAGGGCGTCGTTGAGCTGCGGACACTCGTGGCTGCGCAGCTGGGCGACGCGGGCGGCGTAGTCGGACGATGCCGATGCCGATGCCGGTGTTGGTGCCGGTGCCGAGGAAGGCGTGGGGTGGTGGAGTTGTGGCAGGGTCATGGCGGTGGGTGGGTCATGGTGGAGTCGAGGTGGTCAAGAGAGAGGGGGGAAAGATGGAGGCAAGAGAGAAAGAGGAGTCGGAGGACGAGGGCAGGGTGGCAACCAGGCCGCCTGCGCCCGCGTCCTGGAAAAGGCGGGGGACGCAGCCCTAGCCGACGTTTCGGACTTGGCCGAGGGTTGGCTGCCCTCGCCAAAAAAGCCTGCTTGCAGGCCAGGCCTGACCCGGCGACCCAGACTGCAGGCCTGGCAACACACAGTTCCGACTCCCGCTCGATGGGGCTACCGCTCTCGGATCCGAGGTAGCCACGGCAAACGGAAGCCCACCGCTCTCCACATTTCAGACGAGGCCCGGCGGGGCGGCGCAGGACCCTACCCACTCCTCGCTTCTTGCCTCGCTGCCACCACCACCACCACCACTCCCATCGCCCACCACCCACCACACCGTCCACTTGCCAGCTTCTCTCTCTCCTGCCACACAGCACCGCACCACACCACAACCTCACCGCACCGCACCGCGATGGACTACCAGAACCGCGCGGGCAACAAGGGCGGCGGCGTGGCGGGGTCGAGCGAGACCAACGTGGACCGGCGGGAGCGGCTGCGCAAGCTGGCGCTCGAGACGATTGACGTGACAAAGGACCCGTACCTGCTGCGCAACCACCTCGGTTCGCTCGAGTGTCGCCTCTGCCTCACGCTCCACACCAACGAGGGGTCCTACCTCGCCCACACCCAGGGCAAAAAGCACCAGACCAACCTCGCCCGCCGCGCCGCCCGCGAGGCAAAGGACGCCGCGTCGTCGTACAACCCCAACCACCTCCTCACCGCCCCACCCACCAACCTCGTCCCCAAAAAGTCGTTTATCAAGATCGGAAGACCCGGCTACAAGATCACCAAGGTGCGCGAACCCTTCCTCGCCTTCGAGGCGAGCGATCAGGTCGGAGCCGGCGTCGGGGGCCGGTTGGGCCTCCTCTTCCAGATCTCGCTCCCCGAAATCGCAAAAGACGTCAAGCCGCTGCACAGGTTTATGAGCAGCTTTGAACAGAAGCAGGAGGCGCCAAACAGGGCGTGGCAGTACCTCGTCGTGAGTGGGCGAAGCGTGGCCTTCCTGGGTCGACGCCCGTGTCCCATTTGCCCCCACGACTGGTCGACCCTCGTTTCCGTCGCTGATGCCCCGCCGCCTCCCCTCTCCCGCCTCCTTCCCCCTCCTCCTCCTCCTTCTCCTTCTCCTCCTGCTCCTCCTCCTTCTCCCTCTACTCCTCCCCCTCCAGGTCGCCGCCGAGCCCTACGAGACGATAGCCTTCAAGCTGCAGAGCCGCGAGGTGGACCGCTCCGAGTCGCTCGTCCTCAGCACGCTGCCAAACGCCAAGCCCAAAAACGAGCCGGGGACATGGAGCCACTGGGACCCGGACACAAAGACGTATAGTGAGTGAGCGCCCGGCATCGTCGAGCATCGCTCGGCGAGGCGCTGCAGAGGCAACCCACCCCCGAGAGAGGAAGAGTGGTATCGCTGATTCTAGACTGAGCATCGCCGCCCCCCCGCCTCTTGCTTGCCCTGCCCTGCCCTGCCCCTCCCACCCCTCTTCCTGGCACGTCCCGCAGCCATCCAAGTCCTCTTCCGCTAGCGTCCTCGAGCTCCGCCGGCGAGCATCACCCACTGCGGTCCCCCTCTCCGTCCCCCGTCCCCACGCCCCCCTGTCTTAGTAGCCCATCTGCAACCACGAGCTGTAAGCCCGCACCTTGGCGTCGAGGTTCGTCGTCGGCAGCGACGTCGAGCCCAGCAGCGCCTCGTACGACGACACGTACGCCACCAGAACCGGGTCCACACCGCCGCTCCCACCGCCACCGCCGCCACCGCCGCCACCACTGCTGCTGCCCACAAATCTGGACCCGGATCCCGCTCCCGCCCCTGCCCCCGGAGCGCTGCCGCTGCGCAACAGCTCGTCGACCGCCACCCCCTCGCCACGTTGGAGCGCCACGCTCTCCTCGTAGATCCGCACGTCCTTCTCATCGATGAACCGGTTCGACTCGCCTCCACCGCCGCCGTTGATGGGGGCGTAGGTCTCACCCTGGTGCCTCCGGATCGACCACTCATCGAGCGCCGGGCCCGCGCCCGCGCCCGTGAGCGACTCGTTTCGAAACTGGCTCGTGTAGAAGCTGTACTCGGCCTCTTCGTCGTGCGACACCGACGGTTTGCACACCTTGGCCAGCACCGCCTCGAGCGCGTAGTGCGCCGCCGGTATCGCCTGGTACGGCAGCGCGGCGGCGGGCGGCGCCAGCCCGATGCCCATGGCCTGCCACGGCCCGGCAAAGTTGAAGGCTTGCGACGACGCGTCGACGCCCGCCTGACGCTGGCCCAGGCCCAGGCCCAGCCGACCCACGTCTTCGGTGTCGCCGCCGCTTTGCTGCCACCGTGACGCGCCGCCCTGAACGTCGTCGCCGCCGCTCATCGACATCGACATCGACGCACTCCGACGCCCGCCGCGCTTCATGCTGCCGCCGCTGGCGTCCCTGCCGCCCAGGTGGTGATGGTGACCGGGTCGGTTGATCGACATCCACCGCTTGACGCCGCCAATCAGTGCTTTCGACGGCGCGGCGACGGCTGTCGTCGTCGCCATCGTCGTCACGGACGAGGCGCTGGGCGAGGGAGGCAGCGATGCGCCGCCGCCACCGCCGCCACTGTTGCTATCGATCGAGGGCCTCTTAAAGTGCCGTTGGCGCGTCGATGCCGCATCGACCGCCGTGGCAGACGACGAGGACGACGCCACTGCCGCAGCAGCAGTAGCGGTCGAACGGTGCTGGCTCGACGCGCCGTGGGGCTTAAAGGGGCTCGGGTAGTGGGCCGACGCGCTGGCCTTTTCCGTCACGGGCGATGCCGCCGTCGCCGCCGCCGTGGCCGTTGCGCCGCTCGAGGTCGATGCGCTGCGCATGTGCCGCCCGATGGCTCCGTACGCCGCGCTGGGATGACCCTGGCCTGGGCCGTGCCCGTGTCCGTAGCCGGCCCCCGCTGCCGCCGCCGCTACCGCCGCCGTCGAGCCGGGCCCGTAGCTGATGCTCTGGTGGACGGCCGTCATCTTGTAGGCGTGGTGGCGCTGCAGGTCGGTAAAGAGGCTCGGCCGGTAGTACTCGGCCCAGAAGCCGGCGTCGGTGTTGGCCACCTCCCTCAGCCGCCGGGCACGCGTCGCGACGGTGCGGTTGGGCGCCAGATGAGCCGGCGTGAACCACTGGCGGTAGTGGGGCCGGAAGGGCACCGCCATCGTCGTCGATGACGCCGACGTCGCTTGACCCTCGTCTGCAGCGTCGACGGCGCCCACCACCTTTTCGGCAAAGACGTACGGCGCAAAGTCGGGTGCATCGACGCCGAGGAAGAGGTTGATGGCGGCCTGCTTGTCTGCGTCGGCAAACGAGTTGGCGTAGAAGCGCTTCATGCTCTCGAGGACGTCGCGCGAGTGCGACGTCCACTGATTGATCTTGCGGTATGTGTCGGTGGTGTGGGCGAGCGCCGAGCCGCCGTACTGCATGGCGATCGTGTCGCCGAGGTCGTGGTACATCTCGGTGAGCATGTTGACCGCGTCCGAGTCGAACGGCAGGCTCGGGTCGTCGAGCAGGCCGAGCGCGTGCAGCTGGTGGCCGAACGCGGCCTTGCCAATGACAAACTGGGCCGCGTTGGTGCGGTCGAGGCAGTCGACGCAGTTGACGCGGACCACGCCGTCCTGTAGCAGGATCGTGTCGCGCCGGCGGGCGTGGCCGTGCGCCGCCGCGGCGTGATCGTGTTCGGTCGACGCGCCTTCGGCATCCGAGTCGTGGCCGGCCGCGAAGACCGGGGCGCCGCCGCCGCCGCTGCCGCCCGGCTGGGGCCCCGAGTGGAAGAAGCGCGTCGTCTCGACCGACTCTTCGGCAATGTCCTCGAGGATGCCGATGACGTCCTGGTCGTGGCTCTTGCTGGCGCGCGACATGTCCCACGCAATGTGGCGGATGCGCTGCGCCGCGGGCAGGAACTGGTTGAGGTATTCGATGCACTCGCCAAACGCGCGCAGCAGCTTGACCTCGCGCTCCTGCTTCTCCTTGCTCTTGATGAGGTTGAGGACAATGACGGGCGTGCCGTAGCGGTGGAAGAGGTCGTCAAAGTGGAGCGCGGCGGCCGAGTAGAAGGGGTCCACCAGGCTGATCTCGATGGGCGGTCGCGGCGACATGTTGGTCGAGTCCTGCGTCCAGAAGACGGGGATGCTGCCGCGCATCATGACGTACGATGTGTAGCGCGGCGAGGCGTCGTAGCGCGACTCGGCGCTCGCAGGTGCGGACCC